AGGAGGCCTTTGGGGCGTTGAAGTCACCTAGCAGGAGGAAATGAGTGAAGTGGTAGTTGGAGGAGAGTTGCTCAAGCGTTTGTATGAGGAATTGGTCATCTTCAGGGGGACTCGAAGGGCTACGGTAGACCACGCCGAGAAGGAGAGAAGCGGACCCGCGCAGCGGGATTTGGACCCACAGTACATCGCAAAGGGCGCAGGGGTGGTGTCAGAGAGGACAATCGGGATTGGTAGGGCCGCATGTAAGTACAGAGCAACCCCACCAGACCTCCCTCGTTTTGAGTCAGCTCGAAAAATAGAGTAAGCGTCTATCGAGATCTCCGCGTCAGAGACACCTGGTGTGAGCCAGGTCTCTGTGAGTGCGATTATGGACGGTTGTTCACGGCAAGCTGACTGTTTAACATCGCCGATTTTGTTGAACAGGCTGAGGCAGTTTGTGTACAAGCATTTCAACACTGCCTCTGCTGCCTCCAAGGGTGAGGAGCCGAAAGTTGAGTGACCGAAGCGGTTAGCAGACTTAATAGTTGTACACCAGGTTTGGGTCTGAATCCAAGGCTCCAAAGGGGCATCTGGGGCGATGTATGCTTCCGGGCTTTGTGTTTTCTGGGGGTGCTTTTCGCCTGCAGGGTCTTTATCGTTCCGTATTCTTGGCGTATTCTTTACGTCCATATTCTTGGCGGATGAAATGCTGCAAACTGGAGGAATTGTGGCATTTTGTACCTTTATTTTACTTCCATTATAACACTACGTATTTCATCAATTGCATAATCGTGTTTTGTTTAAATACGAAAAACTACAAAAATGCGCACTTGTACAATTTTCACAGAATACATGCGTGGTCACGTACTTCGCCTCTCTCTTCTGATTTCGCTCGCGCTTGCAGCGGTCATTCGCGAGTCTCATGTACTAACTCTGGTACCAAAACATTTCAGACATCTTCGAAATCTATTATATGTGGGAACTGTTCAGAAGAAGACCTCTGGACCAACATGATTGGATTATTGTTTATTCGCTGACCTGGGCCAACGACGAACTATTTTAAAGAGAACAATTGTTAGTGACTCTGTTCCATCTGACTTCTTTATTTTTGTATACCCAATCTAGCGTCATTATTTTTATTTCTTTGACACACACTCCTGGTCAATTAACTTACTGGGTAGCCAGTCCACTACAGGATAAACAAATAGTGGAGCCGCTGAGCATATGTTCTGGGCCAGTGACATTAGGCTTGCTGCGGCTTCGTCAGCAGGGTAATTCATACAGTAATTAAAAGATTGAGGAAACGCACAGTAGTTAGGTGAATGGATGAAGTGGATGAGCAAACAAACAAATGAATTAATGGTGAATGCGTGGGCAGCCGATGATGGGAAATAGCTGTGTCTCCCAGAACGGATTTCATTCAAGGATGAATGTAGTCAAAATCCAGGGTTTTCGCCCGAGCTGGTGTACCTAAGGGATAATTATTGGTGCTTATGGTTCATGGCACCCCTCTGGTTCACGAGTGACAAGGTTCTGTTTTAGTGTTTCGTACATTTATTTTGCTTCCATCATATCATTGCGTAGTTTGCCAATTGTACAACCGTTTTTTGCACACAGAAAACTACAAAAAAGGGCACTTGTACAATTTCACGCAATACAAACGTGGCCACGTGCTCAAACTTTCTCTTCTGATTTCGCTCGAGCTTACAGCGGACCCTCGCGAATCTCAAGTGGTAACTCTGGTTTCAAACCTTTTCAGACTACCTTCGGAATCCATCATATTTGGAAACCGTTCAGAAGGAGGCCTCTGGATAACCATGATCGCATTATTGTTTATTCACGGACTTGGGAAAACGACGAACCATTTAAAAGAGAAGAAATATTAGCGAGTCTGTTCCGTACGACCACTAATATTGTGTACCGAATCTAGCGTTATTATTTTCATTTATTCGCCACACGCGCCTGATAAAGTATTTTATTGGGTAGCCAGACGACTACAGTGTCACACAATGCGGACAAAAGTTTGTGCTTGCATAAGTGAGTGCGATCCGAATTCAAGTAGCAGGCCAAAACTAGTCCATCGCATTTGCACTTGCTCCGTTTTCAGGCCAACTAGAAGTTCACGACATAATTAAGAGTTATAAGCTTGGTCATTCCATCCCCCTAGATATTCCAAATTTCTGTTGTGTGGTTTCGAAGTCTTTTCTGCGATATGGCTTGTTAACTACTTTCTCCCAAAGGTTTGAATTGGAACTAACATGAAATTCCCAATCATCATCCGGGACAGCTCTAATTAAGTGTTGTGGGATAGGCGACGATAAGCTGACTGCCAGTGAAGAGGGTTGCACTTCATTCAAGCTATGCTTCTTTGAGAACTGTACTAATCTCTCTACCTGCAACTCTGCACTGCTATATAGCCATACCCATGACTTATGCCACTTCTTATGCCCTCTTAAAGCTACTTATGTTTAGATCATTTAAGCACCACTACGAACGAACAACGTGCGGAGATTTGTGGTGTGTAGAATTCTTACAGTGTGTGCCTCGTTCAACCAGCACGCGAAACCATTCACAGGTGTATGGTGATCCTTCTGACCATTGTACATTAGTACTTTCTTTGTAACTTATCATTACTCCAATTTTACCACTTTCTATCTCTCACTAAATCTCAGCTTATTCCTCTTATTTTCATACCCAATAACTTTTGTTTAGATGAAGGCAAAGAAATATGGATGCATATACACAATACAAATTCTGTACCTCGTGAAAGGCGTGTTCCCTTCTTGCCGTGACGAGTTACGCTGTCACTGAAATAACGAGCGGTGATCTGCCTTTCAGACTACGACGGGATAGAAAGTATCTAGGAATATGTGAAGGAAGATTCCAGGAAGGAGACCGATTTGGATTTATTGTAGTGGTAATAACTAACTGTACCAATGAACTGTGAGTTGTATCATCTCGCACATTTTTACTCACTTGATTTAACTACTTTGAAGTGGTATTTGCTAACGTTATCCACTACAGGTGAGAGAGAATCTTTTGTCTTTTGCTAATGGAATGGGCTCTTTTCGGGTACTGATTTTTCCACCAGGTGAGACCCCCAGATAGGTAGAGGAAAAGCCAAACCGTGGCGAAATCGCTCACACATATCAGAGATTTCTCTAGTGTCCCTGAAGAAGTTAGTGCTTTACTCTTGTGAGCTAGCGTCTTTCATTCACGGAGCGTACGTTCTCGAAATCTCAAATGAACTTCCGCTACCGCATTGTAACTAATCCTTTGTTTGCCACGCCTAAAGCCTCTTCTTTTCAGTAACTATTTTCCACTTACTTGCTCTAATTGACTGAGTTCTTTGACTGTCTTCAGGTTCTGTCAGACCACATAGGCATACAGTGTCTGGATTTACTCTCTAATCGATTAGCCGCAATTATATCTGAATGGTGGCGGCAGGTTCCCACATCCGGTAATACGCTTGAAGACGAAGGCCACAAATAGCGGTCGGATGGGTCCTACATGGTTACGGTGTTACGGTGTGTTCGTATGCCGCCAACCATCAAGTATCCCAGATGTTCACCCATCGCCGTTGGCTGTGGGACTAGCCTTCAATTCAGAAAAACGCTAACATTTCCCGCTTTTTTATAATAATATTTTTTATTCTAAACTAATGAGCCGCATATTTCAAGCATGGTCATACTGGTACAGTCAGAATAAGAGAATGACTTGTGGGGTCTGATGTTATTGAGAATTTTGTGGAAAACGGACGGCAACATATACAGTGAGCATTATCGGAAGTAAACTTGGTCGCGCCTGAGGCGACGTGGGTAGCGATCCAAAATTACAAGGGCTCTTTCATTGTTATAGGGAACATATCAGAATGTCGGAGTCACGAAAAAGCGTAAGTGGGTATGATAAATGGGAGAATGTTTAGTAAATGGTGGCAAGAAACCCAGAATCACAGTGAGCAGGCGGATCTACTTCAGAGCAAGCCATCGTGTCAAAACGGCATTACATGAACAGTCCTCTTACTTGTCTCCACGAAAGAGCTTACAACGGTTGCATATCAATACCCAAATTAGATTCTCTGTCTGAGCCTAAATCCGACCTTTATGAGATGTAAACTCCCCTGGCCAGGTTAGATAATCTCCACGAATTCGCGTAAAATCCAACCGATCTGACCTTAATTTTGGATAGATAAATGACTTTTCATGTATGCAGTCCGTGCGATTTCGTTGTAATAAGCTGACTGGCGACTTAATCCATACGATATTGTAAATCTGTTCGCTTATCGCCCACACTAGTTATATGACAAACTAAAAACCAAGAAATCCGGGTTATTTTGGAGCCTATTGTGCCGCTGTGTGCGGTTTTTTCACATGCAGAAGGGTGGCTCTGTTTTACTGAAAGTTGGAGGACACTTCTTCCTACAAGTAGACTGGTTAAATTAGGCTCGCCCACAAAGCTTATGATCTTTATTCCATGCTTTTTAGAATTTGTATTTCTTATGTTCTACTGTATTCACCCAGCTAAGACTTTTCCGGTAAAACATAATTTTTCTTTGGGGTGGGGTACGTTGTCCTCACTTTGATCAACTTCAGGATTCTTTCCACATGCTAGATATCTTTAGAATAGTCGTTCCCATTCGTCCAAAATCCGAACCACTCCAACAAATGAGCAATTTTCTACGACCTTTGCAAACGATGTCGCATAAGTGATACTGTGGCCGTTGGCTTGTTTGCTGAGCTGGGCAATTTGATTGCAATCAAATTGCCCAGCTCAGCGAACAAGCCAACGACCACCATCTACGATACCTGAGCTACCAACATTTTCCTCTATAGAAAAGGGATACTGTATATTAGAGAACTTTTCATAGAATATTTTCATGGAATATTCCCTGTCACCAGCTCTAGGCTTTGCATATATAAATAGACGTGGCATTCAGCAACAACGGCTGACTCGGAAGTTGGTCTCAGCCTTTTCGCCGTCAAATCAGTGTTTGGTCAGCTACACTAAATTCACAATAAGACAAAAATCAAGCAGGGGACTTGATGCCTGATCTCACCGTCGGTGGGAACTCCTCTTCCAGGTTGCGGTGGATTAGGCTTTCTGGGTGCAAATTGCGAGGTACCAGACAATATGGGATAAAACTGGGGGTCGAAGGGCATCATTATTCCTATCCGAATGCGTCCACGCCCGGCCAGGCTAAAGCGTTAGTGGGCGACAACCAAAACAAGCTGTACAAAGCCCACTTGATCCTACGCGCTGGGGCTTCATCCAGGAGGCCTCTGGAGCGTCAAAATCAACGACCAGCAAGAGATAAGTGAAGCAGTAGCTGATAAGAAATTGCTCAAGGGTTTGTATGAGGATTTGGTCATTTCCCGGGGGACGCCCTCTTCCGAAAGGGACAGAATTAGGCCCACACAAATCGGGTCCACACCGAGTCGCACAAAGTTTCAGGAGTTGTATCAGAGACAGGATGGTCCCAACAACCTGTAAGCACAAAGCAACCCAAAAAGCCCTCCCTCATTTCGAGGCTGTAAATAAAAATAGGCTCTCAGCTGGCCCCAGCCGCTTCCGGGACGCGTTCATTCGCCGATCCTTTCATTCAGATTGATTCATATCGGGGGTCTTTCAGTTTATGCTCCCCATAAATTAAATAATTTTCTGCATAGTTTGCGTTCCGCCTTGTGCGTTACCCATAAATCCCTTTCCCAAGGAACTTTTACGTCCAACTCCACCCCAACAGCGAGACCAGTGAGTCTCTACGGTTTAAATGTGTACCCTGATTATGAGATTCCTGCCAAATGATTATTCGTATTCCTTCACCTCATCATCCATGCTTACGAATTTCCTGTTCCTGGACATAAGCGTAACTGTTCAAGGACACGAAAGCACAGCGGTTATTTTAGGTTTTAGTTCAAAAAGATCGGCCGGACCACGTCAACTCGGCGCTCAGTATTCGCACAATGGAACTGAATTTTTAAAAGTTTTAACGTGTCCCTGATGAATCTAAGCAATCGCGCCATTAAGTTCAGAGTACCAGTGCAAACTTTCGAGCCCCATTCAGGTAGCTCGGGGTCCAGCGCTGCTGAGAAATTATTCCACCAGACAGTTCCGTCAAAAATGTGATTGCTTAAGTGAAATCGGGTGAGCTGCGAAAGTAGGAAAGTAGATTAGGACGGTTGTTTGTTTGAGCACACATGCAATACATTGTAACATTTTGTCGCAGAATGTTTTACTCCACTTCTAAAGGTTTTGGAGCCAAGATCATCGTGCGACTAACGGGCACTTATCAGTTCTGCTGCTTTACCGGATCCATTGTTGTGGTTCTCCATTTTATCACAATTAGCAGTTTTCGTGTCGCTTTCAGTTAGTATTCCTCTTGTTTTGCCCTTAGTCACTTTATTTTGCCGCCCAAATTCAAATCCTAAAATTCTAAACTTGCTTTAGCGTGATGGGTCCCATTCTCCAAAAAGCAGTGGCAGCTGCGCTTACATGAGTATACCGGTTTAGGCAGGACCGCGTCTACATCGGATAATGCTTACTGTATGCCACAGAGCCCCTTTTCCGCGCTACTCCCAGTACCCGGAAATCCAGTCAATCGTGCTTTATTCTGACCCGAAAATTGTGCCTATGCGTGATGGTATGCCACCGACCAGTTGAGGAATCAACATCATTCTTATTATTGATCACGAAGCAAAGGGGACATGACCTTCATTGAGGGCGTCCAACGAGCTGCTGCTAAATGGTTCCAGGCTTTAAATCCGTGGCCCTTGAAACGCGTCTCGCGGTGCTTGACCTCTTTCCACTGGAGTATCATTGCCTCCAAGGAGATATTATACTCATTTATGCCATCCTTGAACAGGGTCTGGGCAACAAGATTTTCACCGTCGAATCAAGCAACATAATGTGGGAATATGATAAGAGTTTCAAGCACAGAGGGCACACCTTTGACAATCAACGGCTTTTCTCATTTAGGGTATTTGTTTCACTGAATGACCTTCCTATGACGGTTGTCCACGCTGCACCGGGTGTCCAGTTCGAGGGACTTTTAGATGCCTTCTTAGTTGAGTCCTGGCACTGGCAAGCATACTGGCCCGCGCCAAGAACCTTAAGAGCTATGCCACATCCTTGTTCTCTTTTGTGCATTTCAGCCAGCGAATGACAAGGACAAAGACATGCTGGGACGAAAGTCCCGATCCTGTGCATCGATCCGTGAACCCGGGAGAGCTATTGATTCCATTCAGCTGACCGACAAGAACAAAACCGACCCGGGAAACTTGGGCAAAAGCCTCGATCCTGTGTACCAATCCGTGAATCCGTGAGCCCATTCCACCAATGGGAGTCCAGCATTTCCATAGCGCGTCGATCGGTGCACTGGGCAAATGGTGGCTCCGCTTTTTGAGTCCATCGGGTTGTATAATCTAACGTGATTGTCTCACCATGCCAAGAATAAAAGAAGTCACTCATCTACTTAACGACTGGACTCCTACATTCTTCAATGAAAAGAATGGGAAACCAGCTGAGGTACGCGCATTTTCCTTCATTATCGTTCTCCAGTTGTTTGATGCTCATCCTTTGTCTGAAATGATGGTCAGTCCTGAGGCAGAAGTTGGGAAGAGCGACTCGCTGATCTTAATAGAAAACAACTGGCGCTCAGAATGGCACAAGAATGGTGTCCAAGTTCCAGTCCTTCCGCTGAGCGAAATGCGCCGGTCCGGCTGCAGGTTTGTTAGCTACAGATGGTGTAACTTTTCTTTTGTTAGAAGGCTTGCAATCAGTGGAAACCCAAGAAAACTTCCGTACAAAACCACGTAAGTGATGTTTCAGTTATTCGTACTGTGTAGTCCCTCAAAACTTTGGCATGATGTCAATGACCAACGTTTCGACGATTCCCTCCACTGCATTCTGGACGTTCGAAAACGAACATTTTCAAGTTATCAAATAGATAATTTAGATTACGCTTGGATATCAATAGTCAACGAGGAGCGAGATTGTTTGGACCTTCCGGTGATAACGGACGCTATGTTAGAAGACATAATGGAGGCACTAGAACAACTAACCTTCCTTAAAATGCATCAAAAGTTGAAGGAGCTTGAAGCACAAGCATTGGAATTCGATGAGAATGCGAGATGTGATATTTGCCTTTCAGTAAGCTTCGGTTTCCTCTGACTGTTGCAATTAGTATGAAGGGGAAGATGGCAATGAATTGGTTTTCTGTGATGGATGTTTCTTGTGTGTCCATCAAGCATGCTATGGTATTCCGCGACTTCCAGAAGGCTCTTGGATCTGCCGACAATGTGAAGCCGGTGTGAAGTCAACTACAACTTGCTCCTTATGTCCGAATACTGGCGGAGCGATGAAAATGACAGAGTAAGATGATGTTAGGATATTATCAACTTTTTAGGGATGGCACACGCTGGTGTCACATCAGCTGTGCACTGTGGGTTCCTGAAGTTGGTTTTGGTGATGTAGAGCTGATGGAACCTGTTGTACGGCTGGAGAACATACCTCAGGCGAGACGAAATCTGTTGTGTTCGATCTGTCGCTCCCGTTATGGTGCGCCAATCCAGTGCTCCAATAAAAAGTGCAAAGTTGCATTTCACGTTACTTGTGCTTTTCAAAGCAACCTTATCATGCGGCAAGAACTTGTTGATCGGGACGTACGTTTGTTGGTAAGTCTTTTACAGGTTCAAAGTTGGCATATGTACATTGGGGGTAGTCAGAATAAAAACGCTCACATTAAGGGTATTTTGTGATAGCCTAGGGCGCCGTGTTCCAATGACACGAACTGAAATTTATTGATCCCTAAAACAATAAGAGGATATAACCTACTTGGATGCATATTAGCTCGATTTAGCCAGTTTATCTCATTACACTACCTCAGCTAAGCACGTATCCTGTGTTAATCTAGTGGCTAGGATGAACTTAATTGGCCTGGAGTATTGACTGCACATGCTAAACCATAAAAACCTTTTAGGTTCTGAGACCCAAGCTATCACCACAGGTGCCAATAACGGATATAACTTCGGTCCAATACAATACCTACCGCAGCACATCCAGTTGCAGCGGAATCTGCATCACCAGAGGTGCGCAACCGAAAATTTGTAGAGAGCGACGGGGCAGTCAGTCCAATCACGTTACTTACGTCCTCTATCGTTGTTCCTGACAGGCAGCGTACATCAGTGCAGTGTACGAACAAGAGCCACCTGTTATCCCTGATTGCTTCAGTGTGCGAAAATTAGAGGCGGCCAAGCATACAGACTTTCGGGGTTTGAAAACAGACTTCGAAGTGTTTAGGGTTGTTACTGAAGTCGGAAGTACGGAAGTTTCAGCTGAGTGTGATGCACGTCGAGCAAGGCGGTTATTCCTAGTGCTGGGACCTGCTGAGACAGCATTCAACTTTGGGCAGGGGTGGGTGAAAGGCGAAAAACATAGAAGTGTAAGAAGGTAAGTGTCAGCAGCATCATTTTTCGCTTACCCGCCCTGCTGTATGCAGCAAGATAGCCCGGCTGATGGCACCACGCAATGATGAATGTGGTGTGAGTTTATTTGTATGTGCGTGATTGTTCGTTGTACGTGGGCTGCGTTACTGTCAGGACGCCCTTACCTACTCAGGAGGACGATTATGGTCCTCATTTAAAGCCCTTTGGCCCAAGAGCCTGACCACAAGATAGCGGCGTTTGGTGGAAATGCAAGTGCATTGCTATTTTTACGGGACGATTCGCCACACATGTTTCAACCCGCAACCTAGAGGACCAGGAGGCTGTGTTCGTTAGACTCTTGTATGAGAGACTGTGAATGTCGCACGGACGCTACTCAGTATAGCTCACTGGGTCACGGAGGCACAGAAACCACCACATCATGGTAAGGTCCAGTCTCTTCCTGACGAGATCGATTATCGCCCGAGACACGTTTGTGAGAATCAAGCTGGGCTTCACCCTGGCCGATGATGCATCGACCTTACCTTTACCCTGGGGCAAGTTCTTGAATACCGCCACTCTTTCGAACGTCCCACGTTGGTTGTTCCGGAGATGAAAGTTCTTTTTGATTCTGTCGATCGTCAGAAACTTTGGTGGCGTCTCTTCGAAACTTATATCCCTTATCAGGCCACCGTATGCGAACTCCTGTGGACGGGTACGAGTATACGACAAGTTGTCGCCTGAGTTCACCACGTCCAGTGGTGGCTACTCCCCCTTGCTTTCCCCTTCAACTTTGTTATTGATATACTGTTTGATATTTCTGTACCCTGATCGAGATGGCTTAGTGGTTTGAGCGCGAACTTACCGACCGAAAGGTCCGTAGTTCGAACCTGACCTCTGCATTTCGACTTCCCCTGTTTGGGCTTTGGTAGACTGGCAGTATCCCGGCCCTCAGTCCTCCTTCGGGTGACAGCAAATAGGCACTGCAAGGGTGATACAAGTGGACGGTTATCTTATTATAACCCTGGTCGAAATGCTCCCGGAATGTTCACTCACGGACATTGATCATGCGGAAGATATTGTTCTCTTAGGTACAGACCCCCTAAAATGCCTACCATTTTAAGCAATCTGCCTGAAAGGTTTGGTATGCGCTTTACACCTGCAAAGTGTGAAGTGCCGCTGAAAGACCGGGTGGGATGAGACCCGAAGTTCATGCTTGAAGACGAGCCAATCGATGTGGTAGATAAATTTGGTTACCTGGACAGTGGCGTACGTTCTAGTGGACTGGCTGGAGATGAGATTGTTTCTTGAATCGAGAAGGTCAGGGCAGCTTTTGCCCAACACCGACACCTAGAGAACCGATGTGACTTGAGTTTGTCTCTAAAGGATGGATTTGATCCGTACTTTGGTGCTGAGAAGTATGGTCTCTACACACAGAGGACGTACGGAAGTTGTCAGTGTTTGACCACTGGTATCCAATGCGTTGGTGGGGACATCGTATTATCAATGTTAAAGTGCGTCAGATGGTCTTAAGAGGAAGGAACTCTCCTGCGATAGATGAACTACTCACGCGTCATGGGTTGCGCTGGTTAGAACATGTACTCCTTATACCAGAAGACCGCCTGCCTCGCAGATCTCTTTTCGCCTAGTCCTGTCCTGAGTGGAAGCGACCGTGAGGTGGACTGTGGTACGAAAACACGTACCATTAAACTTAGTCTGGTCAGCAACTGGATGTGGATCCAGGAACTCAAATTACCAATGGTTAATAAAACTGGTATACATGGCTCGATTAGTGACGTACCAAGCCTTGCTACAACGGAATTCAAACTGACACTCATTATCATCGACAGCATGACATCAGTGTTCAGCGCTGATACTTCGCTGTCGTACAACAATGATTAATTTGAAGACAGTTCTATGAAGAAAATAATAAAAATGGACTTCGACTAGTTTACTACAATCATTCCAAGGCGCCTACACCTACAGACACTCATTCAGGCAATCTGGATAGAAACTGACAACAAGAACGCCATTGACATTGATTAGCAGCCATATCTTGCAGCGTATCCACCCAGACGCAGTTAATATCTCGCGGTCTTCATCCTGGAAGGCGAATTGCACCGACAACACTCAAACACCTCGTTATCTCTTTCACACCCCTCTGTTATGTCAAGGGTTTGCCACCTCTCTGCTTCCGCCACTCCGAATTGAGCACGGAAGACAGCAAACCATGGTTCGTCGTACGCCGACACGCCGTTGGAATTCACCACGTAGCCAGACGGCTTCGGCTATTTCGAAGCTAGTACGTTCGTCGTACGCCGACACGCCGTTGGAATTCACCACGTAGACGGACGGCTTCGGCTATTTCGGAAGCTAGTACTGCATAAACACAGCATTTGGTCAACACATGGGTGAAGCAATCATTCAGTGTCGTAAGTACGTACGGACTGCAATCCATTTCGATCACCTACTTGGGTTTCAAATTTGCTAAGCCTTCCCACTTGTGCGTTCACATCTCAGCTTTTAGCTCACCGCAGCGAGGTATTTAGTGCGTCGTGCAACTTGCCTTTGGTGGTATCAGAGCTACAGTGAGTTGGTGCGTGAGCAGACACTGATCAACTTCCTGCTTGTGAGACTCCGTCACACATGTTATCGGACGAACCGCACAAATGCGACTATCAGCGGGTATCCAGTCAAGCAAGGATCCTCCGCCCGGTTAGGACGATACCTACCCCTGTACATCCAGCCCCAGCAGCCTGTTGATCACCAGAGGTGCGTAGCCGTAAGCGAGTGGTGAGATCAACCACTGTGCTTGTGTCTTGAGTTCTTTTTTCTCACACACAGCACACAATGCCAAGTGAGTCCAGTGCGAGAGCAGGGGCAGCTTGTTGTCCTGCTTGGTTCAGGGTGCGAACATTGAAGGCAGCCGGATAGAATTAGCATGGATGTTTGAACATTGATTTCGAGATGCCTGAGGATGTCGGCACCTGATGAGTTGCAGATGTTACTTGCGAAACCGATGCAGGACGGATGGAGTCATCAGTCTTAAGTGCTGTTCCTACAACGAGAGAGTTATTATTGGGGTGAAGAGAGGGGGATGAAGAAGTATGTAAAGGAGAAAAAAGGGAGGCGTCAGCAGTAGCCTATTTTCGCTTACCCGCCCTGATGTATGCGGCGAATAAGGGGATGGCATCACGGGATGGTCGATGTGGTATGAGTATACCTGTATGTGTGCAGTTCATGGTTGTACGTGCGCTGCGATGCAGTGAGGGCATCCAAACATAAACAGGAGGACGATTAGGGTCCTCAACCAAAGCCTTTGGCTCAAAAACCTGACCGCAAGGCAGCGGTGTTTGGCGGGAAATGCCAGTGAATTTGAGTTTTTATTGAGCAAGTCACCAAACACTTTCCAACTCCCAACTAGCAGGATACAGAAACTGTGTTGGTCTGACTTCTAACCATTGGCGAGCCTCGTATGAGAGATTCTGCGAATGCTTCACCCCGCGAGCATAGCTCAATGGTTCGCGAATGTACACAAACGTAACACCATGGTAAGTTGACGTCATTATCATCGTCCTCAGAGACTGCAACATCAGTGTTGGCACTGATGCGTCACTGCTGTACATCCCTAAAGTTCATCTCATTTAAAATCCCAGAGCAGAATGAGAAGTTATTGGGTAGGCGAGGAGACCTGCTGCTGATCTGTGTCAAGTATTCCGAAGAGCCTATGCCTCCAAGTGCTCAATCAGACAATCTGGAACGAAAATAACAACACGAACGTCACTGACATCGATTGGCCACCATCTCTTCCAACGTCTCTGGCCAAGCACAGACGGGGTCACGTGGTCTCCATCCTGGAAGGCGTACAACACCAACAACACCCAAACTCTTCGTACAGTCATACACTGTCCACCTTTCGGTTTTCGCCATTCTGAGGGAGGCACGGAGAACAACACTCGTCTCGGTAGTCTGTGTTTCGGCGTGCGTAGCACATGACTGAGCCATCATAGTTGATGATGCTGGATGTTTACCCGGATTGAGATGTCTGCATCACAACCAAATACCCATTTTCTAATCACCTCGTTACTAACACTCTGACGCCATCCACAACCAGCCACGCTTCTGGGGCATCGACGGTGAAAAAACTGAAGACGCCTCACACCATCTGTCCGCAGAGGCCATGTCTCGCACCCATACAGCAACATAGCCCTTACTGTGGCCTAGTACACACAACCCCTAAAATCTAGTGCGATGCCGTTTTGACGCCACAAATGGTGCAAATTAGCAAACGTGCTTCGAGTCTT